TTCTTTTATTTATTCACTTTATAGATTTTGCACTTGTGAACTTAATTAGGTCCATATGGGTCTTGCAGACATGCAGACCTTTCTTATTAGCCTGCTATTGATCCCATTGTTGCAATATACATAGAAAAATGTGTGTGGATTGCTTTCTGGACATCCAGTGGTCCAGCAACTCTGGTCTTAATTTTTTTTATGAACTCCGCCTAGGACCTTTTTATTGTAAAAAAGCACATAAAATTGTAATGCTGATTTCCTTGTAAAGCTGCTTTGTGACAACACCTGTTGTAAAAAGTGCTATATAAATAAACTTTACTTACTTACTTACTTACTTACTATAAAATGGTAACTAACTACATGAACTCTGAGATATAAGTGTATGTATCTTCATTTTTGCTTAAAGATCTATCTATTACCAGTTCGTCAAGAAAGAAAATTTCAGAAAAGTTTCTTTTTTGCTTCTGCTGAATGGTTTTAGGACTGCTGTTGTGAGGCATTTGTTTTAGAAAAGAGGCTTTTATTTTAGCGACTGATGTTTTACTCATGAATTCTGTGCAACATCAAAAGGAATTCAAGATTTGTGTTTCTTTTCACTTTCTGCACAATTAAAGCAAGCTCATCACTTTAAACAAGCCCCCGACTTAATGCTCTCACACGACCTCCTTTTTACGCTCAACAGCTAAGCTGTAGTCTCTGATAGTGCAGAGAGAAAATAGCCACCGCAAAGCTCTGTACAGTCATAAAGGAGTGCATGTCCAGAGGTCAAATGCTCTTTTGGTGCTAGTCCATGCTCACTTTACTCCAGAGAGACTCTCCCTCTGGATCAGGTGAAGATATGATGGATTGTTTTCAGCTAGCACATATTTTCTGGCCTTGGATAAAGTTGCCCTTTTAGCACTGGTCTGAAATCAGCTGTAGAGAAGCATGGGGAGCAGCATAATGCAGAGTGAAATGTATCCCAGATTTTTGCTGGACCACCTAACGGGCCAGCCTGCGTGAGCTGCTGTCTCTTATTGAGTGACTGACGTCACGATTGTGCAGCTGCCATTTTGGTAGTCAACATCAAGTTAATTAGCAGTGCTGTGGCTGTTTGTAACGAGATAACAAAGCCATAACAGATACAGCAAAGGCAGTAAAACACTGGGTGACTTTTTTAAAATCTCATTTTTAAAGCGTAGTAACGTATGTGTTTGAGTGTATTGCATTTTACTTCATTTGTTGCTGTAGTGATAACAAATGAAAGCTGAAATCTAAACGGCTGAGATTTCCCGCAGCGTTACTAGCGCCCCGTCCTAAACCGTATACTTTTACACTAAATAGTGCATAAAAATGGCGCATATACCACTAGAAGTGCACTCATTACTGTAGTAGGTAAAGTACAGAAGTGTGTGGTTTGGGACGGATGTTAGACCAGCTAGTGAGACGGTATTTGTTGATAAATACACATTTACTGAGGCACATTAATGCATTTACTAGGGTATGCTGATGTTGGCTTCATATTCGCCAACTTTCGTAATTCATTATAGGTTTAAGGAACCTCAGTGTAACTGCAGCACCATTTAAGGTGGAACGGAAAATTCTAACGAGAAACTGGCGAATAAGAAGCTAACTTAAGCTTTATATGCGTGTATGAGTTTACTGTTTAAGAGCTTTGGCAGCTACGTTTATTAGTTTTTGTAAAATCGAGACTGCGGACTTCATCTAAAGGGTCCACATATCTTTTCATGGTTTTTCTAGTCATTCGGATCTATTTTGGTTTTGGACTTCAGCCTACAGGCTTGTAGCTGTAACGGTGATGAGATGAGAGGCAAAGTTACAGCTTACCTGTCAACATGGCGACGTGGTCTTAATGACGCAATCCAATACCACGAATAGGACCATCTTCTCTGAATTTTGCCCGCAATTAGGCAGATATTTCTCAAGATTCACGCTGAAGACTACGATGAATGTAACTTTGTTCATTATTTTTAATTGCTAAGTTCACCTGAATTATTTTAATAACCCTCTCGGTGCCTCTAGCATCAGGGTTAGTTTTAACACAGTGTTAAGCCTCTGGATAAGCAATGAAAGCAGACGACATACCTTCAAAACAGTGATTTGGTGAAACAGTAAAATGTTGATTTTTTTTTTTTTTTTTTTAATCAAAAACATGTTAAAGGTGTTATGTAAATTAGATACATTTAAATTGTATTGTTCCAGTCAAGAATGTCTTTATGGTAGGTTATAACAGTTTTACTGGTGCTACTTTTGGTTAAATTGTTTACAACAGCAGAACATTTATGTTTTTAATTGTAGCAGAGATGTGTAAGCTTCTTGTATAAAGAATTATTAATATTGCCCAAAAATATATACTTTTAAATTATTTTGCAAAACCCAGAATGTGTTAGGCTGTACCCTGCTGTCTCCTGCTCTGTGAATCTAGGCTAAGGTTTAGTTTTGGGGTTTCTAGAACAGCTGTAGAAAGATAACATCTGCTTAAAGCCTCATTTCCTTGTAATAAATACTAGTCCTCCCCTGTAAATAGCATTTAAGTTTGTTATGCCATGCTGGAGAAGCTAAATTTGTTTGTGTCTGGGGTGCGTTTTATCGTGGACACCATGACTTTTTAAACATCTGCAAGTGTCATTCTTCAAATCATAACTAGTCCCTTCCATTACAGCTTAAAAAAGCGCACAGCATTTTCCTGGCGGCCAAGAGAGGATTATCTAAATAACACTCCACAGGCTTTTTTTTAAAAGTCAAAATGTTTTTGGGAAGAATTTCTCAGATTGAAATATTGCCCCAGGTTTTCCTCCCTGTTGAATTTTTCACTTAATTACCGGATTCCATGCTGGGAGACAACGTTAGCCTTTTCCCTTTAGAAGTCTGAGTCCCAGTCCTGCTGGGACTTTAGTCAGAAAAGTAACTTGCAGGATGTACTTGTATAAATGACAGAAGATGAGCCTCCACATTTTTCCCATAGTGTCATTGTATTTAAAACAGGCTCAGGCCTAATTTTTGTAAATGCTTCCAAAAAAAAAAAAAAACATTTGTTCAAATGTGTCATGTGGTTAGAGCTTCATTTTCTAAAGATGGAGAATAATCCCTCTTGATGTTCCAACACCTCAGCATAGAGAAATGTGTGTGATATGTAAAAACATTCTCCTCCATTTGTTTGCTGGTTTGTCGAGAGTGTGAGGTTTGTCGGCCACAGATGTCCTCATATTATGTATTCCTAATTCCGTATTAATCAACCTCTATTGAAATTCAGATCCACCAAAGAGGTGAACAAAAGGTGTAATTATATTAGAAAGGGTTTTAGTGTTCTGGATCCTGTTTTTATTTTATTCTTCACTCCACATTGTGATGTGCATTTAATACCTCATTTGAATGAAACGGCTACTTTCAGATTCTGCAGCAATAAGGATTAAGGTGTTATCATTGTTCTCAGACTTAAGGGGATTCTCGATGGTCCCTTAGTCCACAAGTGTGTCATAGCTATTCAGTTATTGATGCCAGGTTGCCTTGTTGATTTTGCAAATGTTTAATTCCTTTTGAGTTTTACACTAATTACCATAAATGAGTACTTTTGTAGAATAAGAAGCTTATTTCAATGGTAATTATTTTAAGGAAACACACACACACAGACTGTGCTTATTGATATTTTTTCATTTCATTTTCATTTTGTAAATTGACTTGGGTGTTAGCCTTTCTGTGTCTTGTAACTTGCTACTTTCAGTCTTAGGTAGCCAAGCTGCAGTGTTGTGTTGAAGTGATGACTTCCGTGTTCCAGAGCACAAGAAGCCATTGCGTTTTGATTTTTCTTTTAAAATTAACTATTTATCATGCTGGCCAAGTAATGTAAGTAAGACAGAACACGAAACAGTGTTCATAAAGCATCCCTAGAAGCTTCTTACTATCATGTGATTATTTTTCACATTTATTATTCTGATATTTGCTGGTTGCCAGTGTTTACGTCATTTTACCAGACGTTTCTAGCGAATGGTACATTATGCCCCTCAGTTAACCCCGCCTACGGGAGAGCATTTGCATGTCTGTTTAAAGCCCTATTTCCTTGTCACAGACATTAAATACTAATGCTTCTCTGAACTGTGTTAAGCAGCTGTACTGCACTGTCCAATCTTACATGTATCCTCTGAGTGTATATTAAAAGCATCAGTTGAATCTATGGACTACAGTAAGCAGTCTAGTCCTGCTGTCTGGCCCTCTGTTCCTCTCTGGCAGTAATAAAGAAATAAATGCAATAAACCTTTGGCCCTGCATGAATGAAAAAAAGTGTTGAAAATGTGGGGAAAAAAACACAACATATCATGGGCTTAAATGACAATTAATTAAAAGTGTGGGTACAGATCTGTCCAGAACAAGTAATTTAAGCCAAGCTTTCCTCTGATGGATGGGAGCGCAAACCATTATTAAAATTTTTCGTTGGGAACAATATTTTACGAGTGGCCATTGACAAGTACGCAACAGAGAAGTGCAATTAATGCTGAGGAGGGGAGTCAGAGCTGGGGGCAACAGAAAACTATTCAAATTACTGGCATTAATAACCGAGGGTGGCATCACACAACCACCCCCCAACCCCCTCACAGATCTCATCAGCTTCCTCCATGGCGTTACCGTGGGAACAGCTTATTGACCACTGAAGCACAGGGAGTGACAATGTAGGCATTTCACACGCTTGTACTCATTGAATTGACTGTAATGATTTCACACTGATCCTTTGAATTAAAAATTAGCACCCTGTAATGACTTTTTAGGAAAAACAATGGTGATTAATGTTGTTATGCCTTGTTGGTTGGTGTGTCTGTAGGTGGTCTAAACAGCATCATTTTATGCTTGCTTCACAGCTTACACTTAATGTGCTCATTATGTGTGGAAAAATAGCTGACATAGGCCTGCATTATGTGGTTTGTATAGGTCTAAGATGTTTCAGTTTTAGTATGTGCTTCATTAGGAACCTCCTGTTTGATTATCTGTTTCTCTCTCTTTCTCTCTCTCTCTCTCAGCTCAAAACTGCAGTTACACACTATATAGTCCGAATGGGACGATAGAAAGCCCTGGATACCCTTACGGATACCCAAACTACGCCAACTGCACATGGGTGATTGTGGCACAGGAACACAACCGGATACAGTTGGTATTCCAAGGCTTTGCTTTAGAAGAGGATTTTGACATACTCTCTGTCTATGATGGGCAGCCAAGCCCTGGAAACCTACGAACCCGGTAAGCAGCCCTGTTTCCGTCATCATCACTTGGCAAGCTGATGCTACAACGAAGCTCACAATCAAATTATTTTATATTATTTTGCTAGAAAAAACAGCTACAAAAATAACATTTTAAAACATGTTTTCTCAACCCAGATTTACTTGCTATGACAAATAAAGCTATTAGCTCAAGTAGCTTTTGTTTGTAGTACTGAAAGGAAAAAGATAGGCAAAAGCAGGATGTCACACATGTTGTTAAAAATTGTCTATATATGACATAAAAGGCCATAAGCAAACCCTATGTAAGCATCTATATGCATGGTATTCAATAGTGAGGCTATTGTAGTATGACATTAGTTGTTTACTGATCTGTGAAATGTTCTGTTAGTCCCAGTAACAATACCTCAGCTTTGTTGTGGAGATGACCAAAGGCAATAAAATCATTGAGGTGCTGTGGAGGTGTGGTGCTTTGCATCAGTGACATTATATGTCCTTTTTTCAGCATGTATTTTTGGTTACTGTTGTGCTTTGGTTAATTTTGTTGTTGAAGTTTCTGCCAGTGTCAATCTGATAGTATAATTTAAAAGACGAAAGAACTAAACAAAACTGATCTACTGCAGAGCACACTGTCATAAACATGCTTCAAAAGAACTCAGCACCGTTAGAAGCCAGCATCATACAGTGGACCAATCACAGTCAGGGGGAGGTCTCAGAAAGAATGACACAGCAATTAGGAATTCTATTCAGCAAGCAGTTCACATCACACCATGCAAACCAGAGTATGTGAGACATTTCCACTCCTCGCTCAAAGCATTCTGTAATCACTCTGCTCCAACTCTGCTCTGGTTTTCATTTTCTCACTCCTCACTCACTCCTTGCTCACACATCAGAGAAAACCCACTCCATGCCTGCTCCATATGATTCATTCTTATGATATTTATGATATATGATGTTCTGAACGTATGAACAAGATACTGCACACTTCATTTAATGAATTATGTAATTCATGGCTATTAATACACAAAAAAACAAGTTAAATATTCTCACAATACAAGAGTTTTTTTTCGTTAGGGATAGGCTTGAAATGATGACCCATTCACAAATTAGAAAACTGCCAAGAGTAAATACACTTGCTTTTAATGGGATCTTAATCATTTGCGCAGCAAAATGGACAAGAGGAGACAAGAGTAGAACCTTGTTACAATTGGTGAGAATTTCCAGCCTAGGTCTGCTGAACAACTCTGTAGCACTAACACTGCAACCCTCATGTCACACAGAGGTAGTCAGAAAAAGGACTGGCTTGTGGGTGGAGCGCTGTTGGAGTGATTTTGGAGTGAGAGGAACACTGATATTCCCACTCTGGCAAAATCACTCCGCTCTACTCCCCCGCTCTGCTCCCACTCTGCACCACTGACATACTCTGATATGAGTTAGCGACGGTCATTCTGCTTTTTTTTAAAATGAGCCAAGTTAGCAATGTTATTAATTATTTAATGTTCAATAAAACTTTAGTCTGTCTTCTAATTACATAACTAACCAAACTTGCTTTATGTTTGTTAATTAAAAAAAAATGAATAAGTGAGATGTCAATAAGTGGTTTCACTGTACACGTTTTGAGAGGCAGGGATCAGCAGGTGGGCAAAATACAGGCAAATCCATCAACCAGTCACCAACAAAGAAAGGCAGGTGAAAGTGAAAAATCTGAGGAACTAAGAAGGCACACTTGGAAACATGGCCAAGAACTGCAAGAAAACCAGCGAGAACAAAACCAGAGAAAAACTAACAAATTGCAGCAGGTTTGGGGATAATGAGGGGGAGCCAGAATGTTCCAAGGTGATCCAACAGGAGGATCTTATGATTTTCAGCTACAGTGTCATATGATCTACCCATTTGTTTTTATATATAAATTTACAAAAAAAAAAACCCTCCTTGCTACAAGTTGCCACCCAATGTTCACCTACAAGACTCACCTCAAAGAGCCAACACATTTGCGTTTTGGACAGAAAGATGTCATATTGGTTTGTCATAGCCAATTCAACCTGCTGCATGCATTATCTTGTGCATCATTGGACTAACACATGCTAACAGTGAGCTTCAGCTCATGCAATTTTTCCTTGAACTTGATTGCGCTTAGCAGAGCCTACCAGCTACTCTGCTCTAACCTAATTGACAGCCAGCACTGGATAGCATTGCTGACAACAGGGAGAGTGAAACTAAGACGTTTTTCCCACCCTATTAGAGCACGCCAGCTTTGTTCTCTTTTCATAGTCGCTGTGATAGTGTGTGACCTCATGCTGAGTATAATCAGGAAGTGAAACCCTATTGTGGATTTTGTCAATGGAAGGCTTTATTTTCATCATTTGCAGTTATTATAACTAGGCTGTCACTCACATAAACAACTTGGAATAAGCAGGTGCTCTCAGTTTTTGTAATCTTTTCTGTGATTTTTATAGAGTAGACTTGGTTGGTCATGATATTTCGCTGACTGACTTTATTACTGCAGATGGCATTCCTAGAAAGATATTTTCTCTTACACTCTGATGCATGGTCAGTGACTCATAGTGAGCTGCCATGTTGTTTCCTTCACCATGTTTCTTCACCCCACATTTATTTTTGTCCCCTGCCATGAGCTGCCATTTTTCAGAATAAGCATGCAATGTTGAATTAGGAGGCTTTGCACTTGCACATTCCATGGGAGATATTACTCACTCACTGTAGAAGTTGTCAGTAATTGAAGATTTCGGCTGGTTACTTCAGTTTTTATTTTTTCCTGTCGTGTTACTGTTCTCATTGTTTAGAGAACTGTCAGCTCCACTGGGCTGTACATGCAGTGTTTTAAATGTATGGCTTAGTTGTACATTTGCCATTTATTTAGGTGTTAAGTGGCAGCTATAGCATTACATTTTATTATAAACCCTTGTGTCAGCACATTGCTCCATTAGGAAGGTCCCCACCTACATCTGTCTAAGAACAGAGATGCTTTAATAGCATGATTGGGTTACTGATAAGCATTGTGTCGTGTGTCTCTTGTGTAACGAGTTTAAAAAAGACACAGCTCATTGCAAATGATAGATTGGTACTTGTGTTTTTGAGAGTATGGCCAGGTCGCCAGTCCATCGCAGGGCAGACAGACAGACAGAAATATACATTCATATGCACAATCACACCTAGGGCCAATTTAGCATGTCCAGTTTGGTCTGACTGCATGTCTTTGGACTGTGGGAGGAAACCGGAGCACCCGGAGGAAACCCACACAGACTCAGGGAAACATGCAAACTCCACACAGAAGGGACCCTGGTTGCCTGGACGGGGAATCGAACCCAGGTCCTTCTTACTGTGAGGTGACAGAAAATCAATATATTTTACAGAAAATCACACAGAAGCCTTGTCTAAATTTAGTATCCTTTTTTTAGTATTTAGTGTGTCACTGTTTGCCTTTGTCACAGTGCCCATTCTTTTTAGGAGACTTTTAGATTTTCTAAGAAATCTGCAGGAACATTTTTCCACCTCCAAAGTTCAGACTTAGAAGTTGGTTGCTTTTTTTTATTTTCCACACATCCCACACATTCAGTGATGCTATGCTCTTGGCTCTGGGGTGGTTAGTCCATTGATCTGAAAACACCAGCGGCTTCTTTGCTTGATTTGCAAATGATTTTCTTTTCGTCTGTTTCCTTTTTCTCAGTAATGGCTTCTTTACAGCTACTCATCCTTTCAGACCCATAGCACTGATTTGTCTTCTTACAGTGGAAGAGTGGACAGAAACTCCTGTGGAATATTTCTCTCAAAAATGAAAGCTTTAAGTACTGTTTATCAGATGGGGACAGTTTTGTTGGTCTGCCAGGTCTTGCATAGTGTTAGAAGTTCCATTTTCTCTTGATCTGTTAATCATATTTTGTCACTTATTTTCCTTTGACTTTTCTCTTCTGTATGCAAGTGAATTATTTTATTATCTAATGTTCTAAAAACCTCCTGAAAAATGAGCAACTTGTATTGAATGGCTGTTTTGATTGGACAGTAAATAAATGAAGGGTGGTCTCTGACTTTTGCACAGCACTGTAGAAAGCAGAGATTTTTGACAGGAGGTGGAAGTGAACATGTCAGTATCTGTGGCAGGAAAGGTCTATGGAGCTGTTGGTGAAGAGGAGGAATCTGTAGAGGATTGAATATTTATGCAATATGGATATATGAATCTGTTCATCCAGACAGAGGTAGGAGTGGGTTTGTTTATTTGTTTGTGTGTGTGTGTGTATATATATATATATAGACAGAGAGAGAGAAAGATAGGTAGATAGATTTATATACATATAAAGAAAGAGAAATTTGTCAGCCCCTCTCTACCTGTCCATCAATGGCAATGACCACCATAGAACCACGGCTGACCAGATATTATTTGGGTGGTAAACCTCAATACATCATAGTCGCTGACATGGTAGTTCCGTAGTAGTGTTTTGACTGGTGTGAGTGTTTCAGACAGCAGAATTGCTGTGTACACTTTGTGCACTTACTGTCCACTTTATTAGACAGGCCAGCCTAGTTGGTCCACCTTTTATGCCGTTGAAGACTACAGCTTATCTTTTTCTGTGTACAGTTTGTGTTAGTCATCTTTTAGTCCTTTATCAGCAATCAGTTCTGTCTACAGGATCACTGTTGGCTGAGTATGTTTTGGTTGATAGACAGTTCTTAACCCAGCAGATGGGCTACAGCCAGTTACTGTAAAGCTTTGAAGTGCATCTGTATGGTAGGTGTACCTGATAAAATGGCCATTGAGTGAAAGTACAGGTTGTATACACATTCAGAGGCAGGGAGTGTGTGGATTATAGCTGAGGGCGCATGGGGGACTTATCATTTTTATTCCCAACAGTTATGAGCAAGAGTTCATAAGCTTGTATTTATTACTTTTTTCCTTGCTTTTGCTTTGGCTTGTCTGTTCAAATTCCAGTTGTTTTTATTTTTTTAGATTGAGAGTGCATTAAAATGGCCTCTATGTTCTTAAAGGCCTCTGTCTGAAATGTTTCAGCT